AAAAAAAACTATTTTACAGTTCTTTTCTAATTAGTCAGAACTGTTTTCGCGCAATAACTCGCTATCCAGTGATCATAAAAATATGATTAATGGATCATTAGAATCCACTCATAGAGAGCTTTTGAATGGTACCAAAATAACCTTTCTAGCATCAATAGATGGCGAGTTATTCATGTAAATATTTTAAAAATTATCTCATCATCTATCGAAGCTAGAAAGCTCATTTTAGTACCATTCGAAAGCTCTTGATGCGACGATTCCAATGAGCCATTAATCGTCTTTCTACGATTACTGGATGGCGATATATTGCGTGAATATAGTAAATATATATGAAAACTCATCCGGATTCCGGTTCAAACCGGATATTTTCCATCCGGATCAAAATCCGGGTCAAAATCCGGATATCCGGATAAAAAAAAAATCCGGATTCATCCGGATTCATCCGGATGAGACAGAAACGGATCGAAGCACTACCTGAAGCAAAATACAGTACGCTAATTTTAAGTATTTTGGGGAAGAAATTTTTTATAGCATGATATAATGATATATATAACACAAGTATAATGTAAGATAAGAATAAAATAACATACAACTAAATTTAATGCATGCACATGTTCCAGAAAGTAAAATTAACTTTACTGTGATGGACTAATCCCTCAACTTTTATCGTGTAGACCAAGAGACTTGTCCAGACTGACTCAATCCTACAATTCTATGTTTTCATAAATATCTTATGATACTTTTGACTCGTTTATATAAATCAAAGAAAAAATTAATCTTATAATCATCTAAATAAATAAATCATGTTTAATATTATAATAAAATTAACATATTTTAAATTATTTACTTGCCATTTTTTGAGCTTCTTTTGGATATATTGGATAACCCTTTGCTGCTGACTAAATAATCATCGGGACGTAATACCTGTCTCTTATACACATCTAGATGTGTATAAGAGACTGGTCGTGATCATAGTAGTGATATACATCAACCAATTGAATCTTCTGTAAGTTCAACCCAAGTGCTAAAGACTACTGTGGGTAATGTCTTCAGAGTTCAGACTTTTTTTTAAAAAAAATTAGTGATAATTTCTATTTTAGCAATTTTTTCTCAATTTCTGATTTGCATTTACTTTAATTGGTGATCGTATCCGGGGTAATAAAAAACAAGTGATTAAATGTGATACTCCGATTCAAGAATATGAAGCTGAAGCCGGTAATTAATTTTGAAATTTACCATTATTTTATTTTTGTAAATTTCAAATATTGATTTAATGGATCTAAACCAGACCTTAATGTCATTTCTATTTCTGATGATGAATTAGGACCAGCATTTGATGATACACTCAATGATTTTAGCATTTCTGGGCCTTTCAAATTAGATTATAGTACAATTATGGATAATTCTGAAAAGATTTGTGATGATGATCATGAAATAGAAACAGAACGTGACATACGCCCATTTCAGATATATTCTTTAACCATGTACATTCTTAAAATTTGAAACAATTGTATTTTATTCTTGAATGGGTTCCCACCTTGTTATGGTTGTGTCACCAGGGGCGCTATGTCAACGGAAACTTAGTACGTTGATCGCTTAAAAATCCGCGGCAATCCAATCATAACAAGAGGAATTAATTTTTATATAAGATATTGTACTATTTGTGTATGTTATAATTAAATTACAATATTTTACAATTATACAATTAATAATTTATTATTGATAAAAAAAATTATGTAATCTATTAAAATTTTAATAATTAATAATAAAATGCGTTACTTAATGGTTTGTATACAACTTATCGCTTCTATATAACAGATATGAAGTGAAATGACAGAATCTATAATTACATGTTTTTTAAAAATAAAAATAATTGTATTTTCAAAAATTAAAACGTATTTTTCACAATTAAAAAACAATTAAAGTTTCATATTACCTCCATGTAGAAAATATAAAGTAGTGAGGTAGAAACTGGACAGTCTAAACGAAAAAAATGCCACTAGCGATCGACCCTATAGTCACGTGATGGTCACATGCTAGAAGCGTTAAAGTTGCTAAATCAGAGGTTTCAGCAAAGTTAAGAACATTGGATATATTGTTTAAAAAAACATTTCTTTAGAAATATTTTATTTTGGAAGTTTATTTTAGGATTCGACATTTCAACTTTGTATAGTACTAGTTGCTTTTGATTTTTAATTCATTATTAAATAATAATTTTTTTTCAGAAATTTAAAAATTCATTATTATTATTTATTATGAAACGTTTATAACTTAGTTCTGCAATGGTGTAATGGTAAAACACTGTTTTTTGTTAAGTGTGTTGAAATATTTAATAAATTTAATAAATTGTAATTTATATATTAAAGAAAGAAACAAAGAATAATTATAATAACCCTTTAAATTCCTTTTTATTTTACGAAATTTTAATTTTTATTAAATGCGATGAATATTTTCTAAATGTTACACAAAATTAATGGAAGTTAGCCACACTTTGAACCAATCATATTCAAAAAAGGAGTGCAGGGAATAATTTTACCGCATGGGCGTACTAGTACATAAATTTAATTTCTGTAATTATATAAGTCAGTTTCTTTTTATTCATTCTAAATAATTAATACGCTTAAGCCACTACGATCATTGCAGTCATTTTAAAAGATTGTCCTTTAGGTTTCGCTTTATCCAAGAAATCATTATAATCACGTGACAATTTCATTTCATGATGCATGTGATATGTTTCACACGAGTGTAGATCTATGTTTGGAGCAAAAAGCATTTTGTGCAATACTAGGTAAGTTGCACTGACTGCATTATAAGTTTGTGGATTATTTCGGATACAAAACTCCGTTCAGCCTTTTTTTTCTTGTTATAATATTTTTTTTTTTAGCCCTTCTTTTGGAGCTTTATTTTAAAAAAATTCCATGTCTGTCATTCGAGAAGAATTTGTTTACGCAGTAATTAATCGATCAATTGCATTAATAGACTATAATGTTCACACTGATATACATAAACAATATGAATTTAAGAAACAGACAGTTCTTGCTGATAATTCTCTTACAGAAGATGAAAAAACTTATGCAATAAGATGGGTAACTAAAGATTATGATCGAGATAAAATTCTTTTTAATTCAGGAACAAAAAGAACTTGTGAAAATTGTAATCAAAAATGTTTAGCTACATTTTATTGTGAATTTTGTGTTAGAAATTATTTAAAAGCAAAATTTTCAAATTGGACATCTGGAAATGAAGATATTGATAATTTAATCCAGAAATGTCAAATGGAATTAGTTAGACCAGATACTATAATTGAATGGATTCCATATAATAGTTTACGAAATATTAAGTATCTAACAAAAGGTGGATTTTCTGAAATCTATACAGCAGTCTGGATTGATGGAAAATATGAAGAATGGGATTCTAAAAAAAAACAATTAATAAGATTTGGAGATCAAGATGTAATACTTAAAAGTTTAGAAAATGTTGAAAGTGCAAATCAAAGTTGGTTTGAAGAGGTTTGTAATTTAAATAAAATTTAGAAGAAGCTAATTGACCAGTTTATTTATTAATTCTTTACATTTTTATAGGCTAAATCACATTTAACTATAGGTAATAAATTTCCAGTAATTGTCCAATGTTATGGTTTAACACAAAATATATTAAATGGAAATTATATGCTTGTGATGGATAAAATGAATATAAATTTAAGAGAATATTTGCAACAAAATCATAATAAGCTTACATGGAAACAAAAAATCAATATAACTTTTGAAATAGTTAGGGCACTTTATTTTATTCATTTTGATAATGCATCAATTCATAGAGATTTACATTCAGGAAATATATTGTATTCACAACTTAATAGCCTATGGTATATTAGTGATCTTGGATTTTGTGGACCTGCTGATAAATCATCAAAATGTATATATGGAAATCTTCCTTACATAGCACCTGAAATTATTAATGGAAAAGAATATACTTTTAAATCTGATATTTATAGTATTGCAATGCTTATGTGGGAAATTTCATCACAACAACCACCATTTATTAATCATGAACATGATTACGATCTTGCAATGAATATTATTAATGGTATTAGACCAAGAATAGTATCAGGAACCCCTGTTGAATATAAAAATTTAATGGAAGAATGTTGGGATGCAGATCCATCAAAAAGACCAGATACTACTACACTTACAATAAAAGTAAGGGATATGAATTTATATTATCAAAGTATGACAGATGAATCAGAAATACATAATAATTTAGAATTTAGTGAAGCAAATAATTTAGTAAATAGTACAAATAGCAGATTATTTACAAGTAAAATTCATCAATTTGAACAAAGAAATGCAACAGAAGGTATTGTATTTATTACATATTGCTTTTATTATTTAAATAAATAAGTAATAATAATAAAATCTCATTGTTCATACTAAATTAAAAGAGGAGCTAGAAGGTACAAATTTAATATATAAATCTTTTTCATTTTTTCAGATTATTTGTACTCCTATCATTTTGACTTTTTTTTTAACTAAATATTTCATTTTAAATAGCATTTCATAGTAAATCGTATGATTTTAGTATTCCCGCTAATAGTAATATTTTTTAAGTTGTGAATTAGTTATATAGCTATATATATATTCAATTATTAATTTTACATTTTCTTTAGTTAATGATTTTAATAAACCAAGAAATCAGAGTAATAATAATACATCAAAATTACACAGTATATTTAAGGGTAACTTATATTTTGATAATTTTTTAATGACAATGCAATTAGGTAAATAAATAATAACATGTATTTTCAAATTTTAGCAAATAGTAAAAATTTATCCAAAACATTTGAAAAGTTGCCAATAAAAGATGGTAAGTGAATAAATAAGCTTATTTATTAGTGCAAATATTCATTATTTATTAAACATAATTTATTTTTAATTTAATATAAACAAGAAACAGTACAACAAACAAAAGGACCAAATGTTATTAGTAAGTAAATATATATACATTTTAATGATCAATTTCATATTATTCAATTATTCTTATTTTTGTTACTAAAAAGTGGTTATTTGAAATAATATATTAAATTAAAATCTATTTCTTACATTTTTAATTTAGGTGATAGTGAAAAATTACCCAAAGAATTTTTTAATTTGCAAATAAATTCAAATAGTAAGTAAATAAATGAATTCATTATATTAATTTCATTTATTAAATAACGTGATTTTATTTTAAAATTACTATGACGAAAAAGAAATAATTCAACAACAAATGAAAAGGAAAAATATTGATAGTGATGGTAAGCAAAAAATAAAAAAAAAATGAATGACTAGTTTTGTCATGTATTAATTTAATATGGCTTTTATTCAAAAATTTAGATGGTGAAAAAGAAGTGATTCAACAAAAAATGAAAAGACAAAATATTGGTGATATTGATGGTAGGCGGAAAATTTTGCAACGATTTCAATTTTATATTTATTTAATTCTATTTATTCATTCTTACAGATGATGATGAAATGTTTAATAATCCAAACCTTCATTCAGAAGAGCAAGATGAGCTGGAAATTCCCGATGGTAAGTTTTAATTGCTTTAAAAGAAATTTGCTATTACTTTTTTTTTGTTTTTACTAATTGGTATTTATTGTTATTTATCTATTCTTTAGATGGATTTTAAATTTTCCTTTGGAAATAAGTTAACGATATCATTATTATATTTCGAAAGATTTTATCATTTATTTATGCTTTATTTTGAATTATTTAAACACTAAGACTAGAGTAGTAAAAAAAATGTTTTACAAAATTCTTAGTTTGTAATTTAAATAATTATATAATAAATTTGAATTATTAAATATATGAATTATCACCAAAAAGAAAATATTTATGTTGTTACTAATTGGAGTTTATCGTCTTTTTAATTCCCTTTACAAATTTCGTACAAATTTCGTAAATACAAGTAAAGTAGTGGAATAATTTTATTACAGAGTTCAACTAACACAAGGTCTATTGACATCTGTTGAAAATGAAAATGAAAATAATTTAGTTATTTACTATGCTATCCATAAGTAAATGGGTTGGATAATAACTCTTTACGAATAGCATTGTATGATTGTAAATAACTAATTTATCATCCTGGACACATAGTTGATCAGTGTTCACCATATATATAAAAATAAACCTTTAGTTTTTACACAATTTTCTTAAAAATGGCAAGCAAAACTACATCAAAGTAAGAACGCCTTTTAAAGGGAAAGTCAGGTCACCCTTATAGATCCTTATAGATTTAAATAAGAGCGCACAAAGTGACTCTCAATCTTTATCTCAAAATATAACTCTTGATTTGGAGGGAATGGAATTCACACTTCATATTTCTAATTGTAATGTAGCTATAAATATTAGTAAAATTAAACATCTATTATAATAATAACGAATCAATAAAAAATTGATAAATTATACTCAATTAAACTATAACTACTAATAAATTATTATGCTGCATACCTAGTTTATAAATGGCAAAAAAATTCTGGATGCCCGTTAGTGGCCGGGGATAAGGGAAATTGTTATTTGATAAATTATACAATGAAAGTAGATAATTTTTTAAGTTGTAAATATACAGTATATATAAATTTATATTTTGATTTTTTTTAATCGATTGTTGTTAGAAAGGTTAGAATATTCTTATATTATATATATTAATTTAGAAAGTGATAATAATAAATTATTAATTAATAGAATTATTAATGGTTATAAAGTTATGTTTATTAATAAAAGAACTGAGATTATTATTTACCAAGATAACAAGATTAGTCACAATTTTATTACGTGATTTAATTTGGAAATTTTGATGATTATATTTTTTGAAACAAATAAATAATATCAATACTGAAGGTGAATTAGTAATACTAATAAAGAAAGAAATATAATCATTAATAAATGTTAACAAAGTATTAATTTGTTTTTCAAATTGTACCTTCGTGAATCCTTTCATCATTTTGATGTTTACGGGTAATCTTAATTTAATTTTATGCTATCATTATATAAAAAGTTGCATATTTTTTAGATGATATAAATGATTGTCCGGAGCGTAGCGAAAGACTATATAATTTTACGAAGGTCGATGACAATTAGTGTCACGTGGCGATTTCCAGTTGTCCGCATGCGTCATTTCTGATTGGTCTGCACAGAATGTGTATTGAAATTTCGTGCTACATCAAAAATAAACAAGTAAAAAGTTTATGATTACCTTTTTTTTTAGATTTCGGCTAGTAAGTATATTTTTCTTTTAAACGACTTTCTTATTTTTTTCCTAGGGTTTCTGGATTTCTTGTACATACCGGACTGGTAAGTTGTTTTTTATTTGTTTTGCTTTAAAGAAACGTTTTTAGCGTTTCATTTTTATTTTCTTTTATCTAGGAACACAGGTTTTTTGTACATGCCGGACTTTTAAAGGTAAATTGTGAGGGCTTTTCTTACTTGTTTAACCTTAAAGAAACGTTTCTAATGTTTCATTTTTCATTTTTATTTTTTTAGGGATGCCAGATTTTTTGTACAAATTAAATTTTTAAAGATATTTGGATTTTTGTACAAATCTTTCGCTCCGGACTTACAACGGTTTCCGTTTCCTAGTATACTAAAAATATATTTATTTATTATCTTTATGCATGAGATTAGATTATTCCGACAAATCTTTTTTTTTTAAAGATGAACTAATTTAAAAAGTTCGAAGTTATTGTTCCTATTTCATTTTTTGTATCAAATTAAAAACTAATATATTTTTTTTTTACAAAAAATAATTATATTATGTCTGTTATTTGATTGAAAAGAATTAGTTAATGCACAATTAACAGAGCCATTATTTTTACAAATGTCGATATTCACAATGATTTAACAAACACTTTGAATTTCAAAAACAGACAGTTCTTGCTGATAAAATTCTCACAAGCGACGCAATAAAATTATTAGTTATTTGGTTATGGTCGAGATAAAGCTAATTTTGATCCAGAAACAAGAAGAATTTGTAATGGCCATATTATATTATAAATCTCGTGTTTAAAATTATTTAAAAGAAAATTTTTCAAATTGGACATCCGGAAATGGCGAAATTGATTATTTAATTCAAGAAAATATCAAATGGAATCAACACACGCCTAGTAAAATAGTTGAATGGATCCTATTTAATATAATAATTTATAATACACGACAATAAGCCACGTCTTTTTATTGTTTCAAAAAAAATAGGCCATCGGGGACTTGTAGTTTAAGCTTGTTCTACTTTGATGTAGTCATGCCTAAAATTGTACTAGCATAGCTTTGTCATTATAATAAAAATAAATATAAAAATAAAATATAATAATTTACGAAATATCAAAATATTATTAACATAATGTGGCGTCTCTGAAATTTATACAGCAATTTGGGTTGATTGAAAAATGAAATTCTGAAAAAAAATTAATAACATTTAGAAAATGTTGAAAGTGTAAATTACCGTAAAGTTGGTTTAAAATAATAGCTAGCAAAAAAAAATTCAATCTTAAACATTTTTAGACTAAATCACATTTAACTAGACGTAATCCAAATATTATCCCATGTTATAGTTTAACAAATGGAAATTATATACTTGTATTGAGAATAATAGATATAGATTTTAAAAAAAAATATTTACAACAAAGTTATAATCATCTTACATGGAAATTACTTTTGAATCATTGGTAGGCACTTTATTTTATTAACAGTATTTTTAATTGATAATTTTAAAATGACGACTAAGTAAATAAATAATAACGTACTATATTTTTAAAATGTAAAAAATATTTTACTTCAAATACTAATTTTATTATTGTAAAATGTAAATATTTATTTTTTTTTTGTAGAAATTTAGATATGGGTGATTTTATAAAGTTATTGCTATTTTTGTAAACTTTCACTTCTCGTTACAACTAAATTTTTTCGTTGTTATAAAATATTTTATATTAGTATTTTACTAAATTATTTAAACACTAGAGTTAGAGTAGTAAGATTTCTTACGAATTTCTTATCTTGTAATTTAAATAATTCATACAGTATATCTGATATTAACCCCAATTTATATAAATTTATAAATTATATTCGTCGTTCTAAAAAAAAAAAAAGCTTTTTCAAAATTAAAATACGTTTATGTAAGATTGAATTTACATCTAATGTGGTCAATCCACAATCAAGGTTTATTGATACCTACTAAATCAGGACATCAAAGATTTACGGTATTAATAATTATTAATTTTAAAAACAATTCATATTAAAGATAAGAATGCGTGAAAAAAATACGAAAAATAATTAGGATTTTATATAGAACAAATTGAATTTTTATTACAAATAAAAGACCATTTTTCAGAAGGGAATAAATTAAGTTCAAGATATTTGAAAACAAAAATTTCACTAAGCGGCGTAATAAACAGATTATGAATGATGTGTTTAACTTTAATATTTGAAAATATTTTATACTTCATTATTATTTTCTCTTCGTCGAGTTAACTCGTCCAAACCTGAAAAGCATAGTGCAGGCAAGAATTACAATTAGTACAATTAATCACTCGTTTTTAAATACATGACTACAATCATGTGACGCTTATCCAATTAAATTGAATATTGTGGCGTAATACAGTACATTCCATAAATAGGTCTTTTACTTAATAATACCTTTATACTACAATGGGGTAGTTTATTCCAAAACAAAAAATTTGAGTTGCAAGATCATCATGGAGAAAGGATCTAATGTCGTATTAATTAAAGGAAAGCCAAACTCAAAAAATTAATTATATAACAATTTATTATATATATCGATTAAATTGATTGATTTGCTTTTTAGTTTTTTTTAGTTGAAATTTTAATGAATCAAATAGCCAAATATTTGAATGTAAATTTTATTTTAAGAGAAAAAAAAAATAAATAAATTCTTTTATTTAAGCA